CTCAAATAAATAAATCTTCAAAAAAAAAAAAAAAAGGATTTTGAGATCAGAGATGATCCTGGATTATCCAAGTGCGCCCAGTATAATCACCAGGGTCCTCCTAAGGGGGAACTGGGAGGGTCAGAGAGAGGTTGGAAGATGCCACACCGCAGGCTTGGGAGACAGAGGACGGGGCCACAGGCCAACGTGGGCACCTCTGGAAGCTGGACGAGGCAGGAGTACAGTGAACACCTTGGTGGTAGTGCGGTGAGACCCGTGTTAGACTTCCAACCTCCGGGCCTAGAATAAATGTGTGTCCTTTTAGGCTACTACGTTCGTGGCAACTCGCTAAGGCCACCATAGGAAACTAACACAGGGACACTAACTGCGAGCAGGGGAGCAGAGCGTGAGAAGGGGCGCAGGGTGGAGGGGTGCTGGGTGGAGACCCGGTGGACGGCAGCGGCCCCCAGGCAGGGTGGTGGTGGGGCCAGGTGCACCTGGGGCTGCTCTCTCTTCCCTGCCCAGAAGCTCCATCCAGTGTCCCCCTTTTCCCCACTGATTTGATGCAAATACCCATTGACCTGGCCCACCCCGGAGAGAGGGGAGGGGGCACAGGTCTCGCCCCAGACCGTAGCAGGTCCCACGGCACAAGGCAGCGGAGGGAGGGCCTCTGCCCAGAAACCCAGCAGGGCCCTGAGAGGTGGCCACTGACAGAGGACTGGAGCGCGGGTTAACTCTGGGGCCCAGGGGCCCGGGCGCGGCGGCTGCGGACCGAGTCCAGGCGCGTGGGCGGGAGAAGGTGCAGCTTCCTGCCCTGGCCTGAGCGCCCCCTCTCTAAGATGCTACCAGCAGAGTTTCTGTGGCCTCACCACAGTCCTGCTTCTGCTGTGGGCCGTCAGAGGAAGACCCTAGAGAAGGGTGGGCCCCGTGGGGTGGCCGGAGCGCTGGCTGCGGGGGGGCGTCGGGGAGAGGACCCGTGGCGCTCCGTGAACCCCGCAGGTGGCAGGTGGACGTGGGGGCTGCACGGAGAGGCCAGAGAAGCTGTCAGCCAACGTAGGAGTGACAGCCGTTTGGGTCCAGAGAGGCTGTTATTCATCAGTCAGCGGCCGGGTTTTTATTAGGCACCACTGTATGCCGGATCTGTGCAAGGCTCTCGGAACCCCATGAGGAGAATGAGCAGATCGGGTCCTGCTCCCGGAGCTTGGCAGGCCACTGGGGAAGCAGACAGGAGGAACTGTGTCTCGGGACAGGTGTCCGTGAGGCGAGGACGTGGTCTTGGGGGCACCCGGGAGGGAGGGCTCCGGTGGAGAGGACCGTTGGCTGAGACCCAAAGCAGGACTGGGTTTCATGGGAAGGCCCTGGACCCAGAGGCTCCGCCGCCCGCCCAGCCACGCCAGCCCCTCGACCCCCCTTGGGCTGCCTGAGCCTGTGGCTCCTGGGACCCAACCCTCTGCATCACCAGCTGGGGACCAAGAGGGAGTCACAGCTCGTTCTTTAAACTCTTAGTTGTATTTCTCATAGAATGCATGTCAATTGTTATTCTCATTTGTGTTTGTCCTGATAGCTATTCATATACACTAAATACGTCCGTTGAACTCACCATGTTAATTTTATATAGGGCTAAACCGTAATAGACGTTTAAAAAGGGACACATTTATACGTGCAGCTCTGGCTGTATCCTCACTCCCTGAGCACGCCCCTGTGAGCAGCGACCCCCGAGGCTCGGCCCCTGGACTCTCCCGAGATCACCAGTGACCCTGTTCTCACTACACCCCCAGGTTGAGAGCTGGCAGGTCCCCACCTAAATAAAGGACAGAGATGTGTCATGGATGGATGAAGTGCCAAGCTCCTCTGAGCGAGCCTAGAGAGGCTGCTCTTCTCAGCCAAGCAGGTGCTCCGCAGAGGCTGCTGGGATTCGGGCTGGCCAAGCAGAGCTGCCTGAAGGTAGCCTCCCTCGGTCGATCCTGATGGTTCGCGCTCCCATCAGATGTGCTCCCTTTCTTCTTCCCTGCCTGCTCTCCTCTGGCCTCTTCTTCCTCCTCCCGGCTCTCATCCCCCATCCCCATGAAAGCAGGGGCCTCACCTGTCTTGCTCACCACTGTATCCAGAGTCTGGAACTCCGACACCTAATCCATACACCCTTCATACGTATTTGTCAGATGAATGGCAGAGTGAAGTGGCCCCCGATTTGCTCCCCTGTGGTCCAAGTCTTCCTGGGGACGGTGATCTTTACGTCTCCAAGCCCCAACAGGGAGTCTGAGCCCAGAGTCGGGGTGACTGTGCGCAGAGCGAGAAGCTCTCAACCCTGACTCCACCACAAATTCGCGCTGTAGTCTTGACTTCTGCTTACCCATCTGTGAAACGGGGATATAGTGGTCTCTGACAGGATAGCTGAGTGGTGAATTGTAAAATCTCTTGCACATCCCCTGAGTATGACAGGGCCTCTGTGCCGGTAGGAATAAGTGCTTAATAAATGTGCGCTGAAGGAAAGCTTAACTGCTCGGTGTTCATTCACTCGGGTGCCATTCAAAACACACACCGTGGGCCTAATAGATGCCAGAGCCAGCCCTGTAGCCTAGGGCACATCAGCCCCTGGGGCGGTCTGGCTGCCTGAAGGGTCACCCCCTCCTTTGAGTAGCCCACCTCCCCACCCCAGCCTGGAGCCTTTACTCTGCTCTCTGGAGTGAAAACGTGCTGGCATCCTTATGCGTGAGGCTTTGGGAGTGTGTCTTTGTGCACCAGGAGCTCTGAAGAATTCATACTCATTGACTCAGAAGTTCCCTGTCTGGGAATCTGCCACAATAAATAAAAATGCGGGGCGCCTGGGTGGCTCAGTTGGTTAAGCGACTGCCTTCAGCTCAGGTCATGATCCTGGAGTCCCGGGATCGAGTCCCGCATCGGGCTC